CGTAACTCCAGTTCCAGGGGATCTGATGGCCTCTTCTGTCCTCCATGGGCATTGCATGCACAGGCGCATTTACATACGTGCAGGCAAAACACTCATACACATAAAGTGGGAGGGAGGGAGAGAGGGAGGGAGAAGAAAGTAAAGAAAAAATACAGGGAACATTAGCATAATGGGGCTTGATGTCTCTCAAACAGGTTCAGAAAAATTAACTATTTATAGATAAAGAATAAAACGTGGTGAAATATTAACTGACAAATTTGAGTGAGGGTCAAGAAGAAGGAAAGGATGTCCTATCCTGAGGCACACCCCTTGGCCACAGCCTCTCTTCTCAGCTAGGAGGGTGTTGGGGATCAGAGGAGAACAGTTCTGATGCTTCCTGACAAATAGCTTTCCCAGGCCCACTGCCGACTTTAAGAGAAATGCTCTTGCCATGTTAATGTAATACAAAAAGTTAAGCTATGTCAAACATGACACACACATTGGTGAGGACTACCTTCACTGGACAGCTCTCCAAGTCCTACATCTTCCTGCTCCATGAAGAGCTTTGACCCAATGAGGTAGGGTAAAGGACGGTCGATGTAGAGATCCTTCAAGCAAAGAAAGGCCATGGCTGTTAAACACATTGAAACTAAAGGGTTCCACCTGACCATCTCTAGCTAACATAATAGAGGTAGAAAAGAAGAAACTCGGCAGGATTGAAAGCAAAAATCATGATTTTTAAAGCGTCACATCCTAACTATAGCTGACCCCTTCCCCAAGCACAGGGATGTGGCCGGCAGCTTTGGCTGTAGCAGCCCAAGCAGAAAACAAGCCGATGTAGTCTTCCTTAGCACAAGCTGAGACTCTCTTCTCAGGCGCTTCCCTATCCTAATCCCAGCCCAAACCTCATCAGTATCCCACAGACTAGAGAACAAGTACAAAAGACGTCGGTCAAAGGGTACAAAACTTCAGTCAGATGGAAGAATCAAGAGATCTACAATACAACATGGTGACTATATTTAATGATGTATTTTATGTATATTTTTAAAAGAGCGCTGACAGATTTTAAGTGCTATCACCACAAAATAAGTGAGATATATCTAAGTTAGCATAAGTCATACCACAACATGTACACATTTTAAAACATGTATAAGATATATATATAATATACGTTTTTCTAATAAAAATAATAAAACTTTAGTTTAAAAATAGAAATGGGCTAACAAGATGGTGCAGTAGGTAAAGATGCTTATGCCTGACGACCAGAGTTCAATCCCCAGAACCCATGTAAAAGTAGGAGAAAACTGATTCCACAAAATTTTCCTTGGACTTACATCATGTACTGTGACACATGCATGCTCACCCACAAATAGAGAGGCACACAATTAAAAAAAAAAAAAGTTTAAACATTAAAAAGAAAATTAAAAAAAAAAAAAACTCCAGTTTGAATCTCACTGTCACCCAGCACCTCAGCTGTACCACTTCTGTTTCAGAGTTCTGATGATGGTTGCTCACGGAAATGCCTCCTCTCTCCTACCAGACCATTATGAAAACCTTAGAGGAGGAGGAGGAGCCGGGTCCTGCATCTTTTCACCGTCACACTTGGCATGCTGCCTTGTAACACTGAAATCTTCCATCAATGTGCAAAGTTAGGCTGTGTAAGGAGAGGGGCTCATTTTGGAAATGCTAAGTAACACACTCACTTCCTAAAGATCAAGTCCATGCCTTGTGAATCCTGTGCCCAGGAAAAGTACCCAACACATAATAAAAAATATCTGAACTGAATGCTTTACCTTTGGTTCAAGGATCAGTTCCACTCGCTCATTAGCATCTTCTTCTTCGGAGTCCGAATTCCCTGCTTTTATGTCAAGTTGCTCAAATGCACTGTCTAATACTTGTAATCCGTAGTTTACAGCCTCCTGAACTTTAGGAATCAGATCTACTTCTTTCTGTTCTCGAGTCTTCTCCTACAAACAAATAAATACCATTCAGTGTGTATCTCCAATATGTGACTTCTAAAGTCATGCCCCTCCCCAAATTTAATTAAAAATGTTTTTTAAAAAAAGGTCAGATTCTATTGAGTATCTTGATATGGACTTTGGAGTAAACTTGTAAGCTTTTAATTTCAAGTATGTCACTTTCTAGACATGTATCAAACCACTCAAAACCCCAGAATTTCAAATTTTTCATCTGGAAAATCAGAAGCAGAACCAGTGAGTTAAATAAGTTATATAAAATGTCCTAATAATGAGAAAAATAAGTTACATAAAAATGTCCTAAAAATGAGTATCATGTCAAATTCACCATAAATGTATCCCACTAACTTGGTCTGCTGGAAAGTTTTGAGAGCAAAGACCTAGAGCAAAATATTCCAGAGAGATTTCATTTTTCAATTACAGATTTAAAAAATAAAGCACTGGGCAATTACGGTTAAGTTTATAAACTGCTCTGCATCAGGAAAGAATCAGTTTCATCTGCATCCATCCTGCCTATAGACTCAGAACAAGGCTTTCCCTCAAGGTTGTCCAGACTGCCAACCTGCTGAAAACTTTCCACAGGTCTCTTCTTGTGTCAGTGGCTACCAATGACAGTGCCCTGGTTTGTAAGTGTGTCATTAGTTGTGAGAAATGTTGGGAAAAAAAAAAAAAAAACCTGCTATTTTCTCTAGTGAGACATATTATTCTTAGAATAAACCACACAGTATTTGGCTGAGGGCTGATGGGGCAAAATTGAACATTTTAGTCTTTTATCTCAGTCCTAAATATTTCTGATTTAACTTTTTTGTCTGGTTCTCTCTTTTGTCTACTCTAGCAGGCTTGATTCTGAGTTCAAAAGATAGTACTGCACTGAATCTGTGAAAATAGTGGATCTAGTTTATGAAATAGTGGATCTAGTGACTCATCTATTTTTAGGACAGTGGTGACCCCAACACAGGGTTAGGCAAGACTTCTACCGCTGAATTAGACCTTTAGATCTGTAGTGTTCGGAAAATAACTCACTAAATACTGACCACTTTTAAATGTAATTTTGGCTCGATATAACCAGATACTATTGCCCTTCACTGATTAGCAAATTATTGAGTGCTATTAAAATTTATTTTTCTAAAAATGCTGCAAACAGGCCAAACCACAGCTGCTTTCTAATATGGTTCCCTAATCTAACAGCTTTGTTTATTACAAATCATTGTTCCTGACCGAATATCAACTTTCCCAAGTGACTTACTCTTTCTGAGTAAGTCAGAGCTGACTGAAGGTGACCCCTGCAATAAAAGTGTCAAGAGCCCAACAACACTACTATAGGCCAGAACCTCTTACCGAGGTGGTGGGCTCCAATGTGAGGATAGCAAGGAACTGCATGCACATGTCAGTCACATGGTAAGCCACAGGAACAGGGAGAACTGCTGATCCTTGATCCCTCGGCCCGTTTTCCAAAGCCTTCATACACCTAGCCCTCTTCTCCTTTCCTTCTTCTTTTCTGACCTTCACTATCTCCCACAAACATAGTCCACAGGGGTGGAAATGTAGTTCAGTGACAGAGAGCTTGCCTAACATACATAATGTAGGCAGAGGCCCTATGTGCAATCCCCAGTACTTTTAAAAAGTAATAAATAAATAACCCACGATAGCCCACAACAACCAGGTTCATAAAGTACCAGGCACACCTGAACCCAGCTGATGGCATTCTCTCTGGCTGGCATGGACCCACCCACTGCCTTTTACTCCGGCCCTTCTTTCTCAGCTGGCTAAAATCTCATTCTTGAAGCTTTTCCCAGCTATCTTAACAGCAAATCCTTCCTTGTGCAAACTTCCGAAACACTTGCCAGCCATGCAGCTCAGATCAGCTACAACACATGGGCTCAACAGAGACTGAAACAGAGAAGAGTTTCCTAAGTCACCAGCTCCCTGCAGTCTGAGTACAGAGTCAGTAACTATTCACTGCACAGTTCACTCTCTATCTTAACACATCCCATTGCGTGCAAAGGGTCCTCACATAGGCACACATTAAATGTGTGTTTATCTTACTACTTAATTTTGATTTGATAGAAAAAAGAGTGAAAACACTCATGAAAGGATGTGGAAATTGTGTCTTCAGAGACCCCACCTCTGTAACATTCACTTCTGAAAAAGCACTGTCTGTGGCCTGTTTCTTTACAGCCTATGAAGAGTGGCTTCCGCAACTCTAAAGGATAGGAAGAGAAAAAGAAAAGGAAAACGATGAAGGACAGGAAAGGAAGAGGGAAGAGAGGAAAGGGGAGGAGGAAGAGGAGGCCGCAACCTCTGTGGTCTGCAATCCCATACTAGTTACTGTGTAGCCTCTGCTTGACTCTCATGCCAAAATTGGGGAATTTCACCTCTGTATTACTTAATAAGCTTTCAGAAACAAAATGGAGCAGTTCACTTGGACTGCTGTCAGGAGCAGTAGCTCCCATATTCTTCCCAGCACCCCTCTCCCTTCTTCTATGAGGCATCTAAGTTAGGACTGCAGCCAGTGATTTCACGTAAGTACCTGTTCTGGTTTTTCTGCCTCAGCCTTGAGTACCGGCTCCTCCACTTCTTCATCGTACACGCGCTAAGAATGCAAGCAAATTCACTTTTAAAAGGTACGTGACATTTGAAATGACTCAGAGTGTTAAAGAGTTCAATACAAAGAGGCAGTTAGAAAAGGAAATTTCTTTTCAGAAAACAATTTGAACCACTAGCAGAGGGTCACAGGTAACATAAGCTATTCATTTAAAGTTAAATATTTTTGAAAAATTTTTTTTATGTATATAAGTGTATTGCCTTCATGTATGTAAATGTACCCATGTTGTGCAATGCCTGCGGAGGCCAGAAAAGGGGATAATATTCTTTCAAACTGGAGTTACAGACAGTTGTTAGCTGCCATGTGGGTGCTGGGAATCAAACCTGGGTCCACTGCAAGAGCAGCCAATGCTCTTAACTGCTGAGCCCTTTAAAGTTAAATATTGAAACAAGATACAACCAACAAGAAGACATGAAGAACTCTTCAGTTTGTCAGAGTTCTAAAAACAGTATGATTCCAATTGTCACACTTTTTCACTTACCTTAAGGGATAACGCTGACCACTGGAGCAAAGCTAGAGAAACCTTCAGGGAAACTGGCGGTGGCTACCCGGTGACAACCCATACAACTTACCAACAAGGCAAAGGCAAAACGTGCTTTCGTTCTGCTTTTTACAACCGCTGAAGAATTTTTATCACCATCTCATTTAAAAGAAAGCAAAATGGCAAACGCCAGCACCAACTCACCAGAAGATGCACGGCCACACAAGTCTCTTTTTGAAAACATAGTTATCACTCTAGAAACTCACTGTGACTTCTTTTCAAACTTACTTTTTAACTACTGAAGTATAGCATGCTTGTTATAAAGTCAATACAAGCAGGAAAATAGAAATGTTTTCAAAAATTAATAGAAACACTAAAACTCACTAAGCTGTACTTTTGAGAAGAATAAATCTAATCCATTTACAAGATTTAGGTCAGTACAGGTTGAATATTCCTTATCTGAAGCTTGGGATGTGAAGGTTTTATATCTGAGTTTTTTAGATTTTGGAATCTTTACATAGACTTTGTTAGCACACCTAATTGGAAAATCCAAAATCTAAAGCCAGGCATTCAGTTTCAGATTTCATTGCATTTTCGAATAAGAATGCTTAACCTATGCTCATCAGAACTACATGAGAAGATGCTACTACAGAAGACATCACACACTCTGGTTATAGGATACAGAGGAGCCAAGCTAGAAATGATCTGGAAGCTTCCTCCTGCTTATATAACTTTCCCAGTGCCAGAAGTTGCTATTTAGACTGCTGGAGGAGAAAAGTCATCAATGTCCTTGCCCAGCAGCAGACAATGTGTGCCACAATACCAAAACATCAGGCAAGATGTGCCCACTGGAAAAATAGTGGCATAATTGCTATGGAAATAACCATGTGAGGCCTGCTCCACAGAAAGGAATTCATGCCTGGTAGTATAAACCAGGCCAAAATCCCATGACTTGGGAGGCGATGGGCCCTAGAGTATGAACCTACTACTACCATTTTGCTAAACTGACATGTTGTCAAAATGCCTGCAAACATGCTTATATCCCTAGATTAGAGCTGCTCTTAACACTGGTCAGAGAAGCTTCTTTTGCAGTTTGCAGCAGTTCACATAGACTCCTAACTGGTCAAAGCACTGAGGATGAGTACGTGTTGCATGCTCAGTCCTAACAAGACCTCTGTGTCATATTCCCCTGAAGGCTCAGGAACAAAAGAATGTAGGAGCTGGAGGATGAGGAGCAGTGCTGCGAACTGCTGTCTTCTAGACATCACACGGCCATAGTGCTCATGAACTCACAGCAGCCGAAGACGCTTGCACAAGATGGAGCTGTCAACACTCGTGTGGATGGGGGAGGGGCTCATGAAGCCTCACCCCAAGTTAAGAGAGCTACTGGCAGTTAGTAGCTGTTGGAGGAGGGGGGGAGCAATTTTTCATCAGTGCTGTAGTTACTGGAATGTTGCCCTTATTTGGGTAAACAACTCCCACTCATCCTCATGTAAGCTAACCTAGTTAAATGCAGTGTTCTCACACACACACACACACACACACACACACACACACACACGCACACACACACGCACGCACACATGCACGCACACATGCATACACACACAAAGATAGCAAAATAGGTGGCGACCTCTTGGAAAGAAGAGGTTTGGGTGGGTTGTGAAATTTTTAAAAAAGAATGCTCAGTCTGCAGAAAGATTTATGTAAGACATGTTTTTAAAAGTACATCTTTAATCCCAGCACTCGGGAGGCAGAGGCAGGCGGATCTCTGTGAGTTCAAGGCCAGCCTGGTCTACATAGCGAGTTCCAGGACAGCTGGGGCTACAGGGAGACCCTGTCTCAGAAAAGACAAAAAAAAAAAAAAGTACCCTCCTCTGCCAGGTGTAGTGGCGCATGCCTTTAACACCAGCACTGAGGAGGCAGAGGCAGGTGGATCTCTGTGAGATCAAAGCCAACCAGCCTAGTCAACATAGCTACATAGCAAGTTCTAGACCAACTGGGGCTACAGGGAGACTCTGACTGTAAAACCACAGCAACAACAAACAGTTTTCTTGATGCTCACAACCTAATCCTTGGAATAGCACATTTACACTTGATATGTGATTTTGTACCTGAAAGCCCATACATAAAAATTACACATATCCACTGCCTCTGCTTTTAAATAAAAATGTACTCCTAATTATGCATATCTGACTCTTTTAATACCTAATATTCTCATAAAACTATTTTATGCATACAACTTTGACTTAATCTTTTTAATTAATTCATCAGCTTCCCACTGGCAAACACTTAGGAAACTTCCAGGTTTTTCTACTGTAAACAAAGCTGCTCTAAAGACACAATATTCTTAGACACTCGTCTCTTTATTTCTGCAGACTTCTCAAAAATAGGACTGCCAGGGCTGGAGAGACGGCTCAGCAGTTAAGAACACTGGTTGTTCTTGCAGAAGACCCAGGTTTGAATCCCGGCACCCACATGGCAACTAACGACTGTCTGTAACTCCAGTTCCAGGGGATCTGACAGCCACTTCTGTCCTCTGCGGGCATTGCACGACCCAGGTGCACTTACCTACATGCAGGCGTAACACTCATATACATAAAATAAAAATAAATAAAATATTTTAAAAAATAGCACTGCCAAATCAAAGGATAAAACTGTTATTTATTCCAAATCACTATTTCCCGCTTACTATGCAAAAACGTGCCACATCTCACTGTTACCACCAGGATTTCAGCTATTTTCCAAGCCTCTACCACTAGGAAGCATACCTATCTGCCAATATAATCCGACGAATTTTTAAATGTAACCTCTGACTAAAGAATTCGATTTTGAACTTCAGTTCCAAGAAAAATGATCAATGGCAAAAAAAACCCGCTCATGGCTCAAAAATTTTGAGTTAGAAGTCAGAAAACCAAATCTACTGTTCTATGTGATTCCCATAATGTGCAAATAAGGTTCTCTGCACAAGAACAGCAAGGCAATCATAAATTTTACACAAGACAATTTTTAAAAAAAATAAATACCAGTATCTGTTTCTGAATAAGAAGTTTGGGTAATTAGCTATGTGGTTCATGCCTATAATCTTAGATTACAAGGAAATTAAAAGGTCTAAACAAGACTGACATAATTATGTCAACACATTGCCTCAGAAAGAACAAGAGACAGGAAAGCCAAAGCCATGGCACCCCTTGGAGACCCATCCTTCTGAAGCTTGCTTCCAGAGATGCTATCCTTGGATCTGCAGTCTTGCTCCTCAGGCCTCACTGTAATGTGCTCTGCTTCACTGGGATTCTGCACCTCTGGTCTTAAGTCATTCTGTCCACCTTGCTGAGCTGCCAGATCCCAAGGTCTCCAGCCACCACGTGATCTGCCCCTCAGGGTCTCCATACCCACCAGCCTCTGGCTACTGTGTGTAGGCTGTGCTTTAATCCTTTATTCTCAGCTTGTGGGAGGCTGCAGAGCAAGGGGCTCCTTCCCTTCCCGCGCCACGGTAATTTTCGCTGGCTTTTTATACTGCCTTAGTAAGGATATAATATCATCCTCATTTGTACTAACACTAAAATCAAGATTAACATTATTTCTATCATTTAAAAATATACCAAGTGTTTTGATCCCAGCACTCGGGAGGCAGAGGCAGGCAGATCTCTGTGAGTACAAGGCCAGCCTGTTCTACACAGTGAGTCCAGGCCAGCTGGGGCTACAGGGAGACCTTGTCTCAAAAAAAACAAAAAACAAAAAACAAAAAAATATATATATATATATATGAAGTAAAATTCCAAATACCTTTTTAATTTTTGAGACTTTCATACGTGAGTACTGTACTGACATTACTTCTGCCCCTCCCTCTCACCTCTCCAACTCATCACGTGCCCCAATCCCTCTCAACTTCGCCACACCGTCTTCATAGCACAATCTGATACTATGACAGCTAGTCCTCACGGAGGAAGCCTCCAGGTCAGCTGCAGCTACATGAGTTTTAGGTGACAATAATGCCTCAAAGTTCTGTAGAAACTAATTAAGGGAATATGTTTGTTAAACAGGAAAGCAAGATTTGATTCATAGTAAACTATATATAAATACTTACTGAATTCATTCATTAAGCAAATAATTAAGGATAACCTAGACACACACACACACACACACACACACACACACACACACACACACAAGTCATCCAGACTTGAGAGAAACACACAAAACTGTTCACTGGCTGGTTTACTTAAAACAGAATTTGCTTTTAGTCCTCCAGGAATATTCTCTTCCAGGTGATTTCTTTTATTGGGGGCGTTTATTTTGAGATGGGGTCTCCCTGTAGCCCCAGCTGCCCTGGAACTCACTATGTAGATCAGGCTGGCCTTGAACTCACAGAGATCCGCCTGCCTCTGCCTCCCATGTGCTGGGATTAAAGGCATGTGCCACCATGCCCAGCATAGGTTTAATTTTTTTAAACCTAATGCCTTCATGAGAATAGGTTTAGAATATTTGTGTCGATACACAGATTCTTCTCTAGTTAGTGGAATTCAGAAGATTTATTTCCTGTTCTTACTTTTCCCCTTCAGAATTGCTCTACAAAGATGATACATTACTTTGGAAATTTCCAAAGATAGGAACAATAAGGTGCTTGAATTTTTATCTAGACTTTAACGTAGGACAGCTATTGAAGTTACTTCAGAATTTACATGACGAAACCGCTCATCTGAAAGGCTGATTCTGACAGATGCCTGAACACCACCTATACTCAGCCTTTGCCCCTAACTCACTAAAATCTACCTCCCAAGATGTCAGCATCCTGCAGCTGGTGAGCCCGACAGGCATCTGAGAAACCATCCCCTTGGGAGGAGCAAAAGCCATTAGGTCATTGAGGGCAAAAGGATCTCAAGAACTCAGTGGCAGCAGATTATCAGTGCTAATGTCCCTCGCCCTTCCCAGGCTGATCTCACAGCTCTGTGGATGTTATAGTCATGGGTGTATGTGGAATTGCTAATCATCTTTGGTATGTGACCTACTGGAGCTTTTCCTCATTTGAGGAAATAGGGTACATGACCCGGGAGCCAGGGAAAGGGGAACAAGGGAGAGGGATTGTTTATAGGATTACACACAGCCGTGTCCATATCATTTATGTTTTTCATTCAGTCATTCAGATATCCAGAGTTGCCTGTGTGTCAGGACTGTGCTGAGCTCTAAGAATATGTTGAGCAAAATTATGACGCCTGGTCAGTAACTTGAAAATCTGGATTGTTTACGGTGTATACTTGTATAAAAGTCTTCCCCAGTAACACAGAACCACACACAATGCATGTGTATACAATGAAAAAAAATTTAATTAGGATTGCTAAGGAACTACTAAAGAATGTGTGCTTGTGTTCCACAAGCTCTTGTGCGGGGGGCCTGCCTAGTATAGAGGCTCAGAGTGAACACATCAACTGAGCAGACAGACTACAATCAAAGGCGAGGCACACAGAGCAGTGTCAGCAAAGGTCTGGTGTCAGAAAGACACTTGGTATGTCCCAGGCATGAGGAGGGGGCAGTGTCAAAGGAGGGAGAACAAAGGACAACATGTAAAAGAACACAGGTGGGGGGCAGTCTGTGCAGGACAGTACAGGCCAACAAGTCTCTGAGCTTTACCCCTGAAAAGTTGTTCAGTACCTGGCAATTTAGTGACATCTGTTTCTTCAAGAGAAATGTTGAAATACAGAAAGAAAATGATTAAAACACAGCTTTTGTATATTTAACAGAATGATCCTGAAAATCAGTTTATGTTCCTCTATGCTCCCTGCCTCCTGGTTCCTGCCCTGAGTTCCTGCCCTGACTTCCCTCAAGAATGAACTGTGATTGGGACACGTAAGCCAAATAAACCCTTTCCTCCCTCATTGGTTTTGGTCATGGTGTTTATCACAGCACTAGAACCCTAACTATGACACCAGGTTGTTTCAGTAACTCTAAAATATAGTTTGCAACTGACAGTGTAGCTACCTTTGAGTCTAATTAATAAAACCCAAATACCTACATGAATTTAAATAATCTTTCCAAAGAATTTCTACAAAACTAAATGGCTGCATTATCTAGCCTGAATTGTAACACATGAGAACCAATGTGAGAGTCTGAAGAAAACATGTATGAGACCCAATCATTGTCATAGGTATTTTTGGCAAGCAGAATTTTTTTCAGTTTTCTTAACCACTAGTTTCCTACCAACATCATCAGCATGTAATGCTATAGAAGGTTTCTGAAGAGTTATATTCAGTACTGGCTACAGCACATCCTGAGAGGAATTTGGTGGCTGACTGCAATGGGAGCGCTGTAATGACTTTTCAGTATACATCATACATCCCTGTGGAGATGGATGGAAACACAAATACACAAAAGGAAGAACTATTAACAAAAGTTTTTTTTCACAAAACCTACAATCTAGAAAATTCAGACTCTAAAGACGTTTTATCAGAAAAGAAAAGCTGAGAGACAGAGACAGAGACTGAGAGACAGAGACTGAGAGAGACAGAGTCTGTGATTTAGAAAATGATGTTTAAGATGCCTCCTCCCCACCAACACTTTGATCTTGTTCCAGTCTGGTACGGCAGACACACTGAGTAAAAGAGCAAACCTCTCACATCTGTTCTGTGCCCACTCTGCAGCTGAAACAGTAACTGCTCAGAAAAGCCGAGTTATATGATCCAAGAGAAAGAGAGAGAACAGCAAGAGTTAGAACAGCAAGTTCAGCATGATGACAGGAGATGAGGCTACAGGCATCATAGTCCCCTACTGACTCTTCCGGGGGAGATATATATCAGGCAAACCAGGAAGGTTCTGTGCAGATCAGAAAATGTCTTTAAGGTTGAGCATGCCTAATCCAAAAATCTGAAATCCAAAACTTTGAGCACTGACATGATTTGGGTCTGTTTCAGTTTAGGGATGCCAAACCCCTAAAGTCTATGCAACATAACCACATCTAAAAAACCCTGAAATCTGAACAACTTCTACTCCCATGTATCCTAGATAAGGTACATTCTATTTACACTGATTTTCCTTGAATACATGTTACATTTCAAACTCACAAGTTTCCCTTTGTCATTAAAGAAAACATGGGTGAGGCTGAGTCAATGGTTCAATAGATCAGCTAGACTGACCTATGCCCCTGTCTCAAGATGGAATGTGAGGACCAAATCTAATGCTGTTCTCTGACCTCACGTACAACAAGGCTTGTACATGTATGTTCTCTCTCTCTCTCTCTCTCTCTCTCTCTCTCTGAAGAAGGAAGAAGAAAGAAGAAGAGGAGGAGGAGGAAGAGGAGGAAAAGAATTGGCAAAAAGATCTCTAAGGCTGTTGACAAACAGCTCCTGCCAAAAACTAGAAGTTTCAGCCAGAGCTACTAATCGATAAGCACGCTACACCAGCTACATCATGGTACTCTCTTAGTCCTAAACCATAGGCTTTATAATCTTACATTTTGAAAATTCTATAGTACTTTACATCTAACAATCTCAGGACACAGCTTACTTCAACAATTCTTTCTTCACTGATGGGTATGGTGGTACAAGCAGAGGTAGGAAGAGCTCTACAAGTTTGGAACCTACTTGGTCTACAAAGGAAGTTCTAGTCAGTCAGGGCATGATGGTGAGCTCAAAAAAAGAAACAAAGAATAAAATGAAAACTCCAAAAAAATTCTTTCCATGAATTCAGAAAGTTAGACACTTTTTGAGAAACACAGATCAGCGAAACTAAGCTGCCCCTGCCTCCCCTTTACTCACTTGGCTCCATGCACAGCTCCTACTTTTTGACTTAAGGTGCAAATTGTAATTCACCTTCTGTATTCTTAGCACCTAGCAGAAACTCAGCATGAAGACAAAAGTCACATAGGGTTTAAGTTAAAGCTCAATAACATGCTTATTGCTGATTCTGTATCATTGACTCTTCAATCATAAGAAAACTGTAGCTGACAAAATTCAAAGTAGACCTGTATACACATTCATACATAATTTATCAAACATAATTGACCCACTCAGTCACTAAAGCCATAAGTGGTTCTCAAAGGGTCAAACCAGGCACATAGCTTATCTGAGTGCCACACAATCCAGCAGAACCGTTCAGTGCCCTCAAAACTAAAGAGATGGAAAAACTGAAATGAGTAAGTCTTACCATTAGTTTTTTGTTTGTTTGTTTGTTTGTTTGTTTTAGTGGCTTGAAAAACCCACAAACTACTACTAAAAAATAGACACTGGGGACTGGAGAGACAGCTCAGTGGTTAAGAGCACTGACACGGGTTCAAATCCCAGCACCCACATGGCAGCTAACAACTGTCCGTAACTCCAGTTCCAGGGTACCCAACAGCCTCTTCTGTTCCGCAGGCATTGCACAACATGGGTGCACTTACCTACGTGCAGGCAATACATGCATACACATAAAATAAAAATAAATAAATAAATAATAAAAATAAAAAAGAGCACTGACTGCTCTTACAGAGGACCTGGGCTCAATTACCAGCACCCACAGGGTAGCTAACAACTGTCAGTAACTCCAGTTCCAGTGGCTTGGACGCCCTCTACTGACCTCTGCCAGTACTGCAAAACATGGGTGCACCTACCTACATGGAAGCAATATACTCATACACAAAAAATAAAAATAAAATGTTTTTATAAATAGACACTATCATAGAGAAAAGAACTTCAGTGACCAAGAACCAATATATCCACCAAACTTTACAATGGAATCTAATAAAAGTACAAATTAAAATAGCTCTTGCTCCCCAAAAGATATTAAAAGTCAGATGTAATTAAACAACTCACATTCTCAATGAACTGGGTGTTAGACAGCATAAGGAAGTCATTGAAGACATTATGCAGTCGACAATGTGTGGCTTTAGTCTCCCGAATTAATCCATCCATCTGTTTCTTGATTTCATGGGTCCTGGATATAGTGTGCTGTGAGAAGTCCTGCAGAAACTGGAGTAGCTATTTTGAAAATAAACATATAGAAGCATCAACATTACATACATCTATTCCTTGGGTCAAAACAAACAAAAAACCCAAATCTTTTCACCATGGATGGATGATGCTTTTAAAAGTGGCACCGAAAAAAAAACAAGAAAGTTCATCAAGCGAGTGGTATCCAGCCCACGGACACTGGTATCCCATTTATGAAGGAATTTTTAAGCTCTAGTTGTTACTGAGGAGTCCCACTCGTGAATGTGAATAGCCACACACTAGCTTGTTTGCTCTCCCATTTGGTCCAGGTCCTAACTGCCCTGGGTGGAAACGGATCTGCCTGCCCATCTGGGTGGAGTTAAAGGCAAGGCTAGGGCGCCCAGCGAGGAAGGGACCCCGGATCCTCCGCAGTTCCCACCCGGCCGCTCCTCCTCGGTGCCAGGGACTGCCACACTTAGGATCTGGTGGGCGCAGCGGACACACGTGTCCCAGAGCACGGGCAGGCGGTGGGCGTGGATATTTGTGCCCGGGACCTCCCCCCTCGCGCCTGGCCCGCTTCTCACGCCCGCGTCCGCCGCTAGGGACCAGCTCTGGCTGCTCCTGCGGATTTCCTCCACCGACCAGGGCCGCTCCCACACGGGCTCGGGCGCCAGTGCCCGTTCGGGGTCAGGGCTAGTCTGGTTCATCTGCGGCAGGAAGGACGACAAGAGGAGCTGAGTCTAGCAGAGCCCTTCCCTTGCCTTGCCTTGCCCTGCCCTGCCCAGCCCCTGCTCAGCCCCCTCCCC